TCTTGTTTGAGCAATCCTAGATAGACCAAATAAGGAACAACCTTTAATTAAAAGTTAAAATAAAAATCAAATTAATTTAAGTATTTTTTTAACTGCATATATATATATATATATATATAAAACACACAATACACTGTAAAAAAAATTCTGTAGTTTTTACAAAATAATTTTGGCAGCTGTGGTTGCCAGAATAATTTTGTATTTAAAAAATATTATTTCAGTTAATATTTTAGTTATTTAAGTTAAAGTTAGTTTTGGTTAATAATAACAACTCTGATTTAATCTCACTTTATTTTTTATAAGATATATACATATATATATATATATATAATATAAAACAATTAATTAAACATACAATTAATTATAATTATAGTTAAAAACATCATTCTAAATTATACAACAACATATTAAAATAATAATAATTATTATTTTTAACTAGCCTATATAAATAAATAAATAAATATATATATATATTATTTGTTATATATATAACAAATATTATCCAAAATATAAATTAAATATTAACAACATACACAAAAACACAAAGTAAATATTTAAAAATATCAATAAATACATTAAACTATATCAAAATATTAATTAATTGTTTTATTTAAAAAAGTATAGGCTACCCACCTGTGCAAACAAAGTAATTTGCTTAGTTTGAATTAAATGCAATAAACCGCTTGGCCTGCATTTTATTACAGGCAACTTCTTTATGATTTATGTTTCAATTACTCTGGTACTCTGATTATTTTCACACTTGGAAAATAATTTTGGCCTGCCACAAAGTGCTAATAAAAAGAGCCCAGCTGGCATCTCATCTCAGAACAAAGCGGACACTTCCTGTCCCAGTGTTTTATATCCTATCCGTGATAAAACACACTCCCGCTCCCTGATGAAGGCTCAAGTGAACTATTAAAACACACAATCGAGAAGATCTACCCAGAATGCAGTGCAGCCCAGGCAGGTCTGCGGGTGGGCGCCAGGCCTCGTCCAAAACTAACACAGTTAATATGGGGTTAGTGAGATTTCAGAAGAAACAGAAACACATTTTATAGCAGGGAGGAGGAGAGCTGGAATAACAATAATATGGTGTTATACTTTGGTCAGGCTAAACCAACATAAATTCAGCGCTGAGTTTGACAAACAGTGGCACACAGAGCTGACACACAACAGAAAAGCGCAGTGCGTTTGACAATTAAACAACATTCCCTGTAGTTTTATTAGCAAGAGCAAACGAATTATCTTGGTAGTTCAGTTTATGAAGACGAGAGTTATTAAGGTTACTGAAATGCGGTGATGTTAGTGACACACAAAGATGTGAGATGTTACTGCCCTCTGCTCGACAAACAACTGCAATTGCAACGTTAATAAAAATAAAACCGTGTTAAATAAACAGGGTTAAATAAAAGTGTACAGATATTAGGTTAATGCCTCAAAAGTACACTCTAAGAAAAACAAAATAAAAGCGGCCCAATGTACCTTGTTAATATAAATTTGCATGTGTGGGTCATATTTCACTCTAAATCAAAAGAAAAATATAACTATTTTGCATTAAGAAAATGAAGCCTTTTTAGGACCATAAAGAGTTGTTGCAGTATATATATATATATATATATATAGAGAGAGAGAGAGAGAGAGAGATGTTTGCAAAAATATAGTTGCTTTAAAAAAAAAAATGAAAACACTCATACAAAAGCATAGCTGTTTTACAACTTTTTTACATTTTTCCTAAAAAAAGAACAAAAAATATATATATATTGAAGGGTACAAAAAGAAATCTGCATAACTGTTGCTTGTTTCAATGTTGTACAGAAAATACAGGAATAAACATCCACAAGCACTGTGGACCTACTGAAATACAGAATAAACGACAAACACGTTCCCTTTGCTCAAGTCTGACCGGACAGTGGACATCTACAGGATATTATCAAGTACATACTCATGAGATGAATGTAAATGCGGTCTAAGTCTCCCGCAGTAGTTATAGTCAATTGTAAGGTTTTTAATGAATTCGTAGACAGTTGTAGCTCTTAACAGCACTGACCACAGAACTGATGCAAGTTTGAGGACATTTTATCAGGCAGAAACTGCACGACAACCTCCAAAACACACAAGAAATGCCCAAACCCCATTGCTGGACATCCAACATGGAGGCATCAAAGAAATATATACAAAAGTGCTTAATAATTAAGTCGAAAAAGCCACAGAGCAGGCGATTCCCTATGGTTACTGAGCTTTAGCGGGGATCATGCACTCACAAGGCGGCTGAACACGAGCTGTGGACAACAGACAAAAGCACTGAACAGGGATCACACTAACATTGCATAGATCCAAAAACTCCAGGGGGTTTTCTTTTCCCCGAAAATGCTTGTTAATGTCATTGCATTTGACTAAAACCTACTGATTTTGCTCACAAAGTGCCAAAATGTTTTGATACTTTCTGTACTTTTTTTTTTGTAAAGATTTTTTTTCTCCCACCTTGTTACACTTCTGGTGTTCCCATTCAAAAATGACCAGCCTACAAAAAAAGAAAAAAAAACTGGCTTATAAATGTCTTTTTATGGTATATTATTACCAAAAAAAGAAAAAAATTGGCTTATAAATGTCTTTTTATGGTATATTATTACCAAATATTGGATCTTTTTTTGTTTTCTTTCACGTAGCACAGGTTTTGTATTTATTTTTTAAACTGGTTGGTTGTAGGCCTCACTGATTCTGTACTTATCCACCTCAGTTTTTGAGAGAACATTGCCAAAATTATCCACAAATCATGCTTTTTCACTCAAAATCCACTCAGATGAATGAGGCCTGACCAATCATTTCCAAATATAAAACCTACAAAAATACAAAAAAAAAAAAAAAAGAAGAACTTGTCAAGAAGATTGAATCCAATATTTGGTGATAATATAGCAAAACGAGAGATTTACAATCATTTTATACCAAAACACTAAATTAGGTCAAAGATTTCTGCATCAAGGTTTGACAGCTTTATCATAATTAAACTGGTCTGTTTTGTGATTTCTGTAGAAGGTATTTTCTACACATTGTTTAGAAAAGTAAATCTCTGTCCCTCTACACCAGCTAGCTACGAAAACCATCCATCATTATGGATATTAATGTCATTCAGTTTTATTTTTCAGTAAACAGCAGTGAAAACAGATCGTTTAATCTGAAATAAACAATATAACTTGATATATGTGTTAAAAACTAAAAACTCTTTTCTGAATGTATACGTTAGCCATTGTGCTAATCAGCTTATAATATATACAGTTCACGAGAACACATCAACACATAGATGAGCTGTAATGTTGCATAACTACAGTAGTTTCCCAAGCTGCTATAGCTAATATACACAATAAAACTACAAAAAAAAATCAATGCCAAAACCTAAAAAATAAAAAGTTTTTAACATGGTCATCCAGAAGTATATTCAACTCACCGTACAGATTCATCAAAAAAAACACGAATGGTTTTCTTCTGATTTCCTTTGCTTTTAGCTCAAAAACAGGGTTTATAAAACAGCATCCGACTATAAGTGTTTATAAAAGCCATTAATAGCAGATTGAGTCTCTGTAGAAAAAAACACAGACTCCTGAGAAGGGATGTAAAGACGTTGGATTGCATTAAGAAATTCACGAGAATGACGGTTTGAGGATTCATTAATGTGATTGGCTGCGCTCTGGCAGAAAACAAGAACAGTATTCAGAGCTGGAAGGTCTTTGAATGGCAAAGGAAACATGAAAGTACTTGCATAGACAATCTGACATCGGCACATGACTAGAGATTTAACCAGAGGAAAACTCAAAGTTAGAGAGGCCGAGATGCAATGCAGATCAATGGCACAAAAACAGTAGGTTATTGTAAACAAATTCCACCTACTGCTACTTAAAAACTTAAGTTCAGTTGCTGCCTTGAATTTATTTCAAATTGGCTGTACAAGTCAATTCAGCTTGACTTAAATCGAGTTGAATCTCATATAACTTAAAACATGAAGTTGAAATTGGTACAATCATTTTGACGAGTTAAATTTATGTTGCTATGACTTACTGATCATATCATTTTTATGATATAAACACTATTTTGACTCTTGAAGTGTTTCTTCATGCCATCAGGGATCCCTGTAAATCAAACATGCATCTTTCGGGAAGCTGGGTTTAATTTGCTCCATAATCAAACACCAGTTTCACAGAAGAACACAAAAATCCCAGCAGGAAATGAAAGCCGAGATGAACAGGATGTTCTCTTTTCTGTCTGTTGCTCTTTCCTGAGGACATTAAAAGCAGGTTCAGGAACATGTTTACTGCCACCTTTATCAAAAGCACAGATGTACGATGTGCAGATACACACTCGCACATTAAAAAAAGGGAAACAAAACACAACTGTCCCTTTTGTATTTGATGAGGTCCTACTGTAAACACTGACATACTGTCAGCTCCAAACGTCTGAGACATTTATCATTTAATATAACATTTGCATTAGGAATTACACTATTGTTCAAAAGTTTGGGTTTGGGAAGGATTTTGTGTTTGTGAAATGAGTCATTTGTTGCATTTATTTGATCAAAATACAGTAAATATTGTGGAAATATTATTACAATTGGAAATAAATATTTTCTATTTGAATATAGAATATATTCCTGTGATCAAAGCTGAATTTTCAGCATCATTACGCCAGACTTCAGTGTCACATGATCCTTCAGAAATCATTTAATATGCTGATTTGCTGCTCAAGAATTTTTTTTTTCATTATTATCAACGTGGAAAAATATATATTTTAATATCTTTATATTAAAATTATTTTTTAAATTAAAGTTAATATTTTTGTGGAAACTGTGATACATTACTTTCATTATTCTTTGATGAAAGGAAAGCTTTATTTAAAACTTAAATCTTTTTTAACAATACAAATGCCTTCACTGTCACTTTTGATCAATTTAATGCATAATTTCTAAATAAAAGTATTAATTTCTTTCAAAACATCTTACTGACTGCAAACTTTTGAATGATAGTGTATATTAATAGCATAATTTAAAAGTTCTTAGTATTTGGTTTGACTCTTTTTAAGTGCAGAATCTAACATTTTTTTTTATGATTCATTTATTCATTCATTTAAATCCTGCATATTTCCAGGTTTGAAGTCTCATACTTTTGGAGCCCACTACATGAGTGAGGTCTGAAACTAAAAAATAGTCATATGTTTTGATATTCAGGCATGTTTTTTTCCCCAACATGTCTAATAAATTCATGTGGTGAGTGTCCACGAGTTAATATTATAGTGCTACTTTTCATACAACTGCATATTAAAAACACAAAATAGATGTTTAGCACTAAATCTACTCTATGTACATATATTCTTCTATATATTTATCAGAGGTCCAGATAACAAATTAGGCTCTAAATGTCAGCGTCTGCTCCTGAAGTCTTTCTATACTTGTGTCACCTCTAGAAAAAAATGTCTTGAGGATCTCAGACTTCTACAGTACGGCGATTACTAAATACCTTAGGATTACACTGCCCTCTACTGGCCAACGATGGAGCGCGCAAGCAGGATTTGCAACTTAAAGCAAAACTAGCGTCCAATTTGAAGAAGTCACAAGTCTTCTTCCATGCTGAAGCTACTTCTACGACTGCTCGTTTTGGACGCTTCCGGGGAAACCGAGGAAAGCAGGGGATCGGCGCCCCCTACGGGCGACAGAGCGCCGCTGTCATCCATCAAAATATCCCCTAACCCCATATCCGCCATCAGGGCTGGATTAAACACGGAGGCCGTGGGGTCGTCCAGCTCGGCGAAGCCGAGTATCCCGAGGTCCAGAGGGCTGGTGACCGTCCCGCCCACTGAGGAGGCGGAAGAAGGCGGAGATAAGAACGAAGAGGGCGTGGTCTGGTTGAGGGACAGAAGGGTCTTGGAGAGGTCGTTGCTGGGGTTGTGATCCAGAGTTAAAGTCTGAGTCTGGGTCAGAGTGGAGTCAGAGATCTGAGATGATGAGATGCCGTGGAGACGAGCTTGCATTTCCAGTTCCTGTCGATCACACAGCCTCAATCATTAAACTGCAGAGGGGCATTTACAAATGCACAACACGCATGTCAAATCATAACTTAAGGAAATAATAATTAGGCACAACTGTCTCAAGATGCCAAAGTTCCAATTAGAGTTGAACAAAGGTCAGCTTTATGCAAATGAGTGGTGGTGTGATGAGGCAACTACCGGTGGGATTGTAGACATTTATCTGCTGCCTGATACACATGGATTCAGTAGTATAGCATAGGGATGTTCATTTCGGTTATTTTTCCTAACCGACGCTCATTAACATTTGTTTCCCGGGGAAAAAAATTCAAGTGATTGTGCCGGCGCTGCATGCGCACACGCAGTTAAGCATTGCTACCTTGACGATGCAGCCTGTTCATTATCATAATAAAATACAGTCAGTCAAACATATGGAAAAAAAAAACTATGTAGTAAAAAAAATATATGTAGTAAAAAATATGTAGTAAAATCTGTGCCGTTAAGTGTTATCACCATACCGCCGTGATGTTATGCAAAACATTTTGTGAAAATTCTTACGGTCGGTTAACCGGTTAAAATGAACATCCCTAGTATAGCATGAACAGCAGTAAGAGCAAAGAAATGACGTGGAAGAAAGTAGGAATGGGATCAGGACACATAATTCAAGCTGGAATCAAATTAGAGTCTATTTAAGAGTTTTAAGTAAAATTAGTCTAAATTAAAGTCTGAATTAACACTAGAGTTCAATGTGTCTAGAATGTGTGCTTAACTGATAGGCCATAGCTCCAATTCATTTCATGTTACTATGTCAATTTTGAAAAGAGGATGCACATTTTTGGGTAAATGGCAAAGTAGTAAATAAGGATTAGCTTAAATGAAAAATAAAATAATATATAAAATAAAATAAACCTAAATGATTACTCATAGTGATGTAACGATGAACCGCGAGCTGGTTGAAAATCGATTCAAATATGTGACGATTCAAATCGGTTGAGATGCCAAACAAATCGCGATACAACTGGAGTAGGAGTTTATATGAATACATCTCTGAGGGGAACTGACTGTCTTTAGAAAAGTTTACATGGTATTTTCATTTCATCTTGCCTCTGAACAATGCATGTTAAAGTAGAGTTCATAAGCGCAGCTCTGCTGTTTACAGCAGTAACCCAGGAAACACTGTATCATTGCTGTTCATAAGCGCCACCTGCTGGCAGAGAGTGAATTTGCGTCTCATTCAGCTCGTTCAGATATGTTTTATGTAGTATAGTTTCAGTCAGACCATTCTGTTTTTGCTTCAAATTTCGAAATTATACAGTCTCTAATTTAGATTAAAACTTGCTCATGCTGCATCATGTATGCTGCATCTTTGTTTGGATGATGATTAAAATGCAGTGGTTGCTAGGGCTGCACGATAAATCGAAATCACGATTAGACAGAAGCTGCGATTGTCATGCGTATCTTTCAGTGAAGCACGGTTCTGTGATCAGCAGTAAATCTCCATCCAAAGGCCAGAGGGTGCTCTCGCACGGAAACCCCAAATACGCTTCGCAGAAGAAACCCAGGAAATGCCAATAGCGGTAGCTGGATAAACAGAAGATTTAACTGCTTTTATTGATTCAACGTGACTAATAAACACACGATTATGACAATATATGGTTTATCTGAGTTATTATTATTATTATTTTCATTAAAATAAAGTATATTTATAATGCAATGCCTTTATCACTGCTTAAATACTATGAAATATGTTGCATGCCTTATTCTGTGTAAGAAGCCACATCATCTCTCAGAAGTATTTATTTCAAACACTCGACTGATGTTATGAAGCGAGTTTGGAGTAAAAACATGTTATTAAATGTGGTATTTTCACATGCTTTCAGAAGGAGCAGCATTTACTACACAGAGCCGTAGTTCACTGAGAAGCTATGCAAACAGCTGTCATTATCGTGAACGATTTCTTTGATTTCAGAATCGCGCAATATCATCTGCGATTTTTTTGCGTAACTTGACAGTGAACTACGGCTCTGTGTAGTAAATTCGGCTCCATCTGAAAGCACGTGATGATGATTTACTGCTGATTACAGAACTGGCTTTACTAACAAAATGCGAATGACAATCGCATTCGATTAATCATGCAGCCCTAGTGGTTGCCTCCAATTTTAAATGGAAAGAGCACAGACAAAGCCTTAGTTTGTTTATATGAAGAGATTTATTTTATTAGTGTAACTTAGCTACTTGTTTGATTTGAGGTTTGTTTTAAAATTTCAATTTAGTTTTGTTATATTTCAATTTCACAAATAAACATGCAGCTATAGCCTAATAAAAGGACACCTTTGAATTTATTGTATAATGTCTTCAATCTCATTTTGTTAAAGGGGTCATATGATGCGATTTCAATTTTTCCTTTCTCTTTGGAGTGTTACAAGCTGCACAAAGGTGCATAAAGAAGATCTGTAAAGTTGCAAAGACTAAAGTCTCAAATCCAAAGAGATATTCTTTATAAAAGTTAAGAGCACAAATAAACGTTCAGCAATAGCCTAATAAAAGGACACCTTTTCATTTACTGTATAATCTAATTTTGTTAAAAAATATAGTGAGAAAATCGAATCGTGAAATAAAAACCATGAGTTAAGTGAATCGTTACATCCCTAATTACTCACATTTCACATTTTCTGTGTGGTGTTGCTATTATTCCCTAAAACTTCAAATATAAAAAATAAGAAGTTTTTACTAAAACAAACTATTAAAAACAATAGTTTTCATTAATTGAAATGTAGCTGAAATAAAATATCAATAATAGATAAAAATTAGAAATGTTGCCTTGGCAACTAACTGAAATAAAGTAAGTTAAATATTAAGTACTAAAATTACCAAAACTAAAACTGATATAAAAATAAATTAAAGCTAAATAAAAATATATAAATATAAAAATGACTAAAACTAAAATGACAACTGAAAATAAATGAATAAAAACTAATTCAAAATATTTATAAATAGTAAAATAATAGTATATAAATAATACTATTACTAATAATAACTCTCTGATGATTTGGGGAAAAAATTGTGGAATGGATTTAAAAATGGTAAAAGATTTTCTTTGGAAATCTACACGGCAGCATACCTGAATGCGCAGCAGCAGGCTGTGGTTGGCGTGTTCAAGTTTCCTCTGTCTCGTCTCCATCTCTTTGGCCCTCTGCTGCTCCTTCTGTAGCTTACGGATGTAGTCGACTGACACCTTTAGGATGGTGCCCTTGTTCAAGCGCATCTCGCTGTTGAGAAAACACATGCAGGCACTCTTATAGACACATGCACTGAACAAAACCATTAAAATGAAGACAACTAGAGTGAGGAAAAAGTATATTTAAAAAAAAAAAAGTCACTGATTTTTTTTTTTTTTAATTGCCACTTTTAAAAAAATCCATTAAAATTATATTTTTAAATTCAGATACAACAAAATAATACTCTTAAGAGTTTTTGTACTGTCATAACTTAAATGATCTTTTGAATTGAATTCATTCACCACTGGAAATAGTCACTGTTGAAAACCAGACAGAAGTGAGAACGAGAGCAGTGATACATAGTGATGACAGTTCTCAGCGATAAAACAGAAACTGCAGGTAAAATCTGCAAGAAATCACACTCACTCAAGTTATGATTGTCTTTTTTCTGTCTCTCCTTCATAATAGCTTTTGCCTCGGCATCTATAAAAAAAAAAAACAATATAGCAATTTATATTTAATCTTACAGGGGAAGTGTGTAATTTCTTTGTCACTTCCATCACCAGACAAAAAGCCAAAACAATTACTGTTTCCAAACAGGTATCCTGAACAGTCTCTCTGTCTGCCATTGGTTGAACAGATGGTTGTGTCTCAAACTCACACCACTTGTTGAGTTAAAGTAATAGCATCGTCTGACTGAGATGTGGGACTTTTTGTGAGAATCAACCAACAAATACCTTATTTATTGTGGTTTCTGATAGTAAAATCAGATAAAGGAAGTATATCACTTCACCTTTAAGCTATTTTGTCAAGTCAAGTCACCGTTATTAATATAGCGTTTTTTACAATGCAGATTGTGTCAAAGCAGCTTTACAGTATTAAAAAAAAGGGAAATAGTGTCGAAATAGTGTGCCGTTATCCTCTGGCCAGACGAGACCAGCAGTTTAATTCTAGGTTGCAACAAAGTCAGATTGTGCAGAGGACACATCTGGTTCCTGTGGTCTTGTCCCAATGGCCGTCTAGATGATGAGGTCTTCTTATGTTAGCTAAATAACATTCACAAATAATATCCGCACTTCTATTATTCCTGCTAATTTATTGCAATTGCTACGAAACCATCAGTTTTACTTCTATAATTATTTAATTTTTAGTGCACAGTGTTCAGTGACTGATGAATGATGGGTATTTACACTAATCACTTAGTCACAAGTTCTGCAAAAGCATAAATATCCACTGATACAATAATTAATCATATGCAACGATGACTGTTGCATATCAGAACTGGGAACTGCTGTGAAATTGGGAAATGGCAAATGTGGTGTGTAACTCTGCTGATACAGTCAGACTGACTCGACTGGCCGGTGAAGGATCGGTGCCAGAGAAACGAGGAAGAGTAAGCAGCGAAATAAAGAGATGGAAGACCACAGATGGAGATACACACTGGTCAACTCTCTCTTGCCGTTTTGCAGGTCTGCAGGGCAGGAGTTGCTGACGGTGAAGCTGGGTGCCGCCATGCCCTGACTGCTGTACACATCCAGGAGGTTTCCTGAGACCGGCAGCTGTTGAAAACCAATCACAATGAATTAAATCAGAACCCCGCCCACTGCATTATCTGGTCAGAGGCCCCCCTCACTGCCACATGGTGCACCGTATGGATAACCTTCATTCAGTTCAGATAACCACAAACATGAACCTTCATATCTGAAGGGCGACATCTTTAACAATGGCCAAACGGCTCTGTGTGCACGCTTATTTCTAAAGTGAAACGAACTAGACAAGGCGAGGACTATCATATGGATAAAATATGCAAATATGTGTAAATAAAAAGCATTTCGGAAGGAAAAATTACAAATACATAAACTGTCCTCTGTTAGTGCTTACTGAAAATTTGAGAACATAAACAGAGCACATCTAACCACAAATTTGTTTAATTTCTTAATAAAAACACTCATGTAAATCTCCACACAATAACCAAGTTATTCTGCTTGCGTTTCATAAATGAGCAGCAGCAGATGCATTAAGAGAGCTGAAAACAAAACTACAAACTGCAACCTTGACGTCAGACATTTTTGAAATAATTAAACCAGTTACAGAAGATTCATAAACATGCTTGAAGTTTCAAACGCGCAGGTTTACCAGAAAACGCATTTCATTCATCTTGACAAACAGAGCCAGCCTGAAAGGTGACTTTTTCTTTTGTAAAACTGATTAAGCGTGCAGAAATCAATTATTTAAAATCCATCTTATGCTGAATCTGCTGTCCCGAGGCATAGAGATGCTCAAATAAACCCAACAGATCGTTCACAACATGCTAAGATTACTTAAAATGTCATAAACGCATCAATCTGTCTTTAAAGCAAAACTAAAACCCAAACCTACCATCTTCCCACGGCATTTACACAGGACAAGCAATCCCAGAGTTAAAATGCACTCAAATTTACCTCAATCTTGCCTTTTTTCTTTTCATTCTCCGGCAGTAAAACAAGAATCCTCATGTTCTCTTAAACACCCGCAAAGTGCTTCCTCTTTCTGTGCGTCTCTCCGTAAAAAGGGACGTTTAGAAATGGGGAAATATCTTTTGGAGTCTTAAAAAAAAGGGCAAGCTTGCCACAGAAATCAACTCATGCACACACACGTTCAGTGGCCACTGGTTCTGCATGTGTGTGGTTGTGTGTGTGTGCGGCAGCTCTCCGTCACTCCTCCGTGGCGTGCCAACCCCACCCATTGTGAGCCATGTGTTAGAAGTTCATATTTGCTTCCAGTGTTTCAAGCCTACATTCAACCCAAACGTACCGAATGCAAACACTACACTGACAATATGCAATTAAGCATATGAGTCTAAGTTAACCTTAACTGGTTACACAAGCGCCTCTACCTGAACTCCTCCCAGACTCAACTGAAAATTACTGATTTGAAAACCGAAATTGTATTTCCAAAGCAAAGGCATGTCAGAGCAGGATTCACTTGGAGACAAATTTGCTTGCATAAGACTAAGGTAGAACTGTGGGCTTCAGTGAATGACTGGAAATTCAATGATATGTGATAAATCAATGATAAATGGCTGTTTATCATAATAACATCATTATCATCAGTTAATTAAAAAAAATTAAACGCTGTTCCAAAAAGTCATGCAAAACAAGTTCAACAAACTTTGCTTAATCAGTTCTTAAGAAATAGATGACAAAAGCACTTGCATTGCTCAATTGATCCTTAACAAAGTTGAGGATGTCGTTACATACCGTGTTGGGAAGCTGCAAACCCGAGTCGATCAGTGTCATAAATTCATCATTTAAACTTGATTCCAGGCTGATGATGTCATCGATGACGTCTTCGATCTGTGCATTTAAAACAGAGAAAAAACAGCTTGTAGATAAAGTTTTAGATTCCTTGTGACACAAAAATCTGCTTTAAAGTGGATTTCCGCCATGAGTCATATGGATGTTTAAATAACACACTACACAGCGGTTTCCAGAGTGACACACCGGCCACATGGAGATGAGAAATACAGACATCCGATTCAAAGCCCGATAAAAGTCTCGAACCTTAGCCAGCTTGTATTTCATCGTAGAGTTTTCCAGTCAGTGGTTTTGACTGGGAAGGGTCCTTCAGTACATACACAGGAGAAATACAGAACTGAAAGACTTTAATAGCCAAGCCCACACAAAGTGCAAAGTGTGCTGGGGTCATTGAGCCGTGAGTGTGATATTTACCAGCACAATATGGTACCAAAAGCAAAGTGCCCAAGAGAGTCTGGCCGACTTCACGCAGACTTGACAAAGCGAGCTATTTGTATTTAACAAATGCAAGGCGCATTCTTCAAAAGGATCTTTCCAAGTCTCAGAGCCAAACACTTAATTAGTTGTCTAGCATTCTCTAAATGGCTTAAGACTTGAGATTATTAGGACAATAATTACTGGTTAGTACGGTTTTGTAAGCATGTGAAATTCACAGACTATGTCTAGCAACATAAGTGGCCTAAAGTACAAGCTGACTGGAGAGTAAAACCTTTTCCTGTCAATATAGCATTGTTTGATAGGCAGACAATAAAACAGACACAAATACTGCTAGAATTACACTGAAGAAGGGACTGGAGCCTAGAATCATGGCATCGAGTAACACTAAAATCTAGTCACTGAGCAGAGATAGTAAAGGTTATATTGTACTTGTGCATGTGAAAGTAGGTCAGAGCACAGAGGATTATGCTATGCTGTCACTGTTTGTGTAAATGGGTCATCTTTTGTTATGGCATTGGCTCAATGACTCTTATCTACACAATTTTTATAACTTTATTGCCATGATGTAGTACTATTAAAATTACATCATTTGGAGATTGAAATAAGATAAAATACTGTTCAAATGTTTGGGGTTGGTAAAGTTTTTTAATGTTTTTCAAAGAAGTGTCTTATGCTCACCAAGGCTGCATTTATTTGATCAAAAATACAGAGCAGAGGACATTCATATAGAACGCAAATGAAGTCAGTATGATTTTATTCATATTCACTACTGTTCAAAACTTTGAACTGTAAGATTGGTCGGTAAATGTTTTTGAGCATATTAATTATAACATATATATTATAACATATATATTATAACATATTGTAAAGACAGTTATATTGTGAAATATTATTACAAATTAAAGTAACTGTTTTCTATGTGAATATATTTTAAAATGAAATTTATTCCTGTGACGCAAAGCTGAATTTTCAGAGTCACATGATCCTTCAGAAATCATTCTAATATGCTGATTTGCTGATCAAGAAACATTTCTTATTATTGTGGAAATTTCTTATTTTTGTGGAAACCCTGATGGATATTTGAATATCAGCATATCTGAAGAACAGCATTTATTTGAAATAGAAGTCGTTTGTAGCACTGTAAAGGACTTTACTTTCACTTTTGATCAATTTAATGCATCCTTGATGAATGCAAGTTAAAAAAAAAAGTACATTTCTAATGTTGCTTTTAAGACATAAGGGCTTTCCTTCAAAACCATCATCTATGCTAACCATGCACTTTCTTGGCAATATAAATGCTAAAACAGAAACATCTGATCTGGGTTCAGTTCATACCTCTTCTTTGTTTGATCCCAGGCTGAGCACAGCCAGCGGGCTGCTGGGAGTGCTACTAGCGGCAGGAGCCAACTCAGGGGTGGAGGCAGGCTGGGGCGAGGGCAATGTCGCCAGAGTCCGATTGGCTATTTTATTGCCAAGGGTGTGAGAGAGGTATTGCTTCACTTGCTGCCTCTGAGCTTGCTGGATGTGGTACTTTGTCGGGTTTTCCAAGTGCGTTTGGACCTGAGATTCAAATACAGGACAACCCATGGAGTAAACAGTATTTCAACATCCAAATGTTCATATTTCATGTTAATTTTTTATAGATGGTCATACCTTCAGCACTTCCACGGGCACCTGGGTCGGGGTGGCCGGCAGGGCGGATGCGACAGAGATGGCAGGGGTGGCATCAGTGGGCCGCTGCTGAGCGCTGGAGGCCTGTTTTTGGGCCTCCCGTCTCTCCTGGTCCTGAGCCTGCTGTCGCATCAGCTCCTGCCTCATCAACACACGTGACGTCATGACGGAGCCGGCTGGGGTCACGGGGTCAGCAGAGGTCACAGAGCCACTACGGGGGCAGACGATGAGAATGTAAATTGGCTTAGAGTACCACGCTACACCCCCGTGCTGTAATCATATTACTACAAGCTATTTCTGAAACACAGGGCTGAGAGTTCACCGCCGAGACAGAGATCAATTTAAGACAGACAACGTGAGAACAGCAACTTAAAACACAAGACGGTTAAAAAATAATGATCTCTTATTTGCCATAGCATGAAATTTTACGTGTCATAAAATTGCATTTCTCATAAAACCAAAAACTACTGTAAATTTCTTATTTATAAGGTCTTGTTTTGAATACTTCTTTGAGGAAAAATATCAAAATGTAATGACTTTTTCTGCTTGAGGCAAATCAGGAGAATACAGTTAACCAATGATATGACTGCTCTACATTATTCCTTCAGCATACTGTGTTTCCCTTGGAAATACATCACATTGTGTCAACATGTCAACATAATTGATGCATTTACTTTCATACATACATATTCATTCATATTCCTGGTATACTTTTCATCAGTGCATGTTATTCCAAAGACACAAAATGTTTGTTTTCATAATATTTCATCAAAATAAAAATAAATGACATGTAAAAATAATAAAATAAAAAATACGAATAAATATATGAATAAAACGTTTGAAAACTATGAATAAAATTTTTAAAAATTATTTAAATTTTTTTCAACTCCTCTCGTCCAATCATGTAAAATGGCCACTTCTCATAATCCAATCAACTGACGGGGAAAATAAAGTTGTCCCGCATATTTTTCTAACTGACTTTCACTTTCACTTTCACTTAGAAACATGTCCTATTATGGGGAAAAAATTGGTTGCAAGCCCGTTCACGTTGACTTTTGCAACAATAGTGTTTAAAATATATACAACCATCAACATTTAGCAGACACTTTTATCCTAAAAGCTTTAAGAATGTGAATAATACAAACAGAAAAGTCCTTTGTAACATTATCAAGCTGTGCTATCAATGAACACTGCTTACATAACAACAACAGAGCAAAATAAATCAAATCTCTCTGTACAGTCTCACATTTCCAACAATACAGCCTTCACATTCCCTTCACACAGACTCGATTTTTCTGATGAGTCATTCTGGGAAGTACCAGAGCCAACGGAAAACAAGCAGCCAAGACCACGCTGCCTCAAACACACAGTTTGCAAAAAAGTAAATTCAAAGAATACTATGTCAGGCTGATCATCCTGTCAGATAAACCTGAGAGACTGTGGGAGACAGCAGCGTGTGAACTTTGAAACACTCGTATAATTGATTTATCTTAAAACACACTCGGCTATGTAATTCTGCAAACACAAACCACTATCCTAAACATATTACTTTATAATCAATATGATTTTTTTTTTTTGTAAGACGAGCTGTGGAAAGAGGTATTACGATTGATCGGGGTGTTTAGATTTGTGCTGAATCCCTGGAAACAGACACTGGGAAGTTCTGTCAACAGAAAGCCAATGCCCCGTCTAAACACCTTCAGGACAGCATGCACTGACCTGCCTCATCGCATTAAAAAAAACATGCGGCACTCACACAAATGGGCACAAAAACAGTGCTTAATTTCACATAAAGTGAGCAATGTAATGAATAAAAAAAAAACGAGAAGAATGTAAAAGTTCTCAACAATTTAGAAGTACAGTAACTGCCGGTAAACTCCCGCGGGGTGAAGCTGATTATACCGTACACCAAATCAATATGTCACAGGTATGCAGCAAAATATGATCAAAAACTTCTAGGCATCTAACACAGAGCATGCAGGAAGTAAATCAGATACGATTGCGGTTCTCTCATAAGCGTATCTGGCATGCGGTCACAGTCTAAATGTGTAGGTGAGAGTACAGAAACAAACAGGAAGTGTGCTTTGATAATTGTGGTAACCGGACTCACCGTGGGGTGATGGGTTGACTCTTCAGCTCGTAGAAAGTGTCCGAATCGGTGGAGAAAACGCCTTCTACCTCAATATCTGCCACAATCCCAGACTCAGGAAGAAGGGGTTCAACACTGAGAAAGGAAGAACACAGCTACGTCAATTACTGTCAGTCCACAAACTTGTCCTGTAATCGGACATGTTGATGCAGAGACCCATGAACAGGAGGGGTGTGAAGTAAAATCCTGGAATTAATAAAGACTCCCAGTCACTAACCACAGTTCCTCATTCCCAATACTGTTTAATACATCACAGGCTTTGATTGCGGGGAAAACCATGCACATATAAACGACACAGAATACAGTACAATCTATCATTTAAATATGCAAAATCTGAATTTAAATATCATGCATATATATATACACACATACATAAAACCAGTTTTAAAAAGCATTAATTTAATTAAAAGGCATTAATTTATTATTAATTTAAGCATGCTTTTTAGACCTGAATGCCCTTTATTTGACATATTTACAATATATATATATATATATATATGCCCTAAAAGAACTCTTGCAATCAGCTTGTCGTTCTGGGGAAAGCTAATTAATATTTATGAGCCAAGCCTTCAGCGTAGTACAGCATGTATTCGCTACCCGGCCTTTAGAGATTCGAGCTTTTCAGTCTGCTTAACTTTCGCTAAATACCCCAATTTCAACGAAAATGATACTAGAAAATCTTCCCTAAACTTAAATAATCTGTGTTTTCCAAGAGTATCAGCTGCGGACTGCCCCTAATAAAACTACAGCTTTACTAAAAATAGACAAATGGAAAAGCCCAATATCAGTAGTCACCGCCAGAGGGGAGTCACTCCAGCAATATAAATTTATTTCCTTTTTATTCTACTCTTATTTTTAATTAATTTCATATATTTCTTTATTTGGCTTACCCTTACAAAATAATATAAGCTTTCTGCAGTATTGTAATATAAGAATGGGTGTATGTATTTTCAATCTATTTTAATTCGTTTTATATTATTTCTAACTGTAAACAAAGAGACTTTACACTTTCAAAAATGTTTAATTAATCTGATGTATTTATGTATCATCACTAATATAATTCCTTGTTGTAATACTTTATTTTCCCCTTACGGTACTAAACACAACTACCACCAGTGTGATAATGTGACAATAAAGAATCTTGAACTTTGAAAGCACATTATGCAACAACGGCTATTTAAAACATAAAAAGGTCACCTTTTATGGTAATTGGGCTATAGGGAGAAAAATCAGACGTCATGTCTTTTTTCTGAGGATAGCAAATGAAAAACATGCTTTTAGGGTACAAAAGGAGCAAAATAGCGTATGCTCAGCAAGCATTCAGTCAATGCAAGCAAGAACTTGAGAGGAAGGACAGCAAAAACAGGGATATAGAAAAAAGAAAGAGGGCAAAATGTGTGGGTAGATTTGCTGAGTCATATCCCGTGAAATCTGAGGCTCAGGACAGAAACGACAAAACAAAGCCTCTGGTTAAATGGCTCTTGTGGGTCGAAGTAACACAGACAAGCATTCCAGAGGAATTTTGTTTGGCAGGGTGGAAGGGAGGGAGGTTAGTTTTAAAGGTTGAGGCCGGTTAAATGGCTTTGAGGTTTGGTTTGAGGAATTTAAAGAGACGGTTCTTTTGATATTCTGAAAATTCTCACATTAGGGGAACTTCAGGGAGCCTACACAACTCATTTATTTTCTTTCAGCTTTCAATAACATATTGTATTTTTGGCTTAATGTACGTGATTACTTTTGCAACTTTTATGTACAGGACTTTGGTACCCATTACGATTTGAAAGTGCTACAGAAATAAAGTTGAGTCAAGAGTGCATTTGAATTCTCATGCATAAAAAGACTGTCATGTGCCATGGCTTCTTCTTCTTGTACGCTATATTTAGAGACTTGCATTTTGCCCAAAAACAATATTTGCAATGTCCAACATCTGCTTTTGGTTACGGTGCATACTAATCATAATATTTTAATAATTTGAATGAGAAATAACCTTTGAATAACTGCATACATTCCTTTGAGTACAGTCAAGTTTTACACAAAACTAAAATGCATAACCCTACAAAACACAAAACCAAAAGGAACAGTCTGATTCTGAATCTACACACTAAAAATTAACTATCAGCACCGCAATGAATGCAAAATATTGATGCATTGAACATCCTCTAATCCCAAGCATCCAGGTACACTGATGTGTTTATAAAGTATCTAGTTTATCCTCCAGGAGTTGTCAATACTTTAAATCTCTATCATGAAGTACCCTTAGGATGAAAACAACACAAAATCACTTTGTGGTTTGAATTAGTCATTAAAACCAGAGTTTATGTGATGCTCGTTCACTCACCTGATGAGATTGACAGATTCGGCTGAGGAGTCTAATATGACGTAGACGGTCTGAGGACGCTCGTGCAGCGCCTGTTGCCCAGGTAACGCCACTTCCGGTCTGCCCTTCGCGGGTTCGACGGAAAGTAGGCTGGACATTTCTCCAGGTGTAAAATGGTACTTAAAAAGAGCAAAATAAACGAGCTAGGGTAACCGAGAATGATACTAGTCTGAGCTAAAGTTCACAAACAAAATAAAACCAGTTGTTTTCGGAAGAAGTTGAATAGAGGACCGTCGCACTTCCCGACCGCTAGCGAGATGTTTACTGCACAACTGGTCTACGCGTTTCCACAGATTCCCGCGTCGAGGCTTCCTTTATCAGTCTGCACTACAGCTTGATGAAAAATAAATGCGTCTTAGAAGTCCGAAGTCCTTCGTTCCTTAATGAGAGTCTGGCTGCTGTGCAAACAGTTATCTCGCTCTCTTCTCCGCACACTGAGGGGAGTAAATCTGACTGGAAAACCCCAGTGACGCTCCATGATCAGCCGAGTGTGACAGACAGACGAGCGGTCCAATAGCTGTGCAGCGTGGGCGGGGCTTCACGGCGATCAGCCAATAGGCGACCGATAGAATACTTGTTTACTTCAAGCGTTAGGTCAGCCCATAGGGTCAGCCTTTGATATAACATTACAAACTATTTCGTCATCCTTTAGTTTTAGATGAGGAACCTCCGTGTCTGGCTGTGATATTCTAAAAAAAGAATAATGAAATTAAAATAATGTTGACGATGAAATGAATACGCTGTGATTTAATTGAGCATATAGTGTGGCATCTTATTTGCGTATATAAAATATAAATTTTTTAAATTTTATTTAAGCTTAATTTATTATAGCCTATGCATATAGGTATGTGTTTTTGACACAACAGGGTACTTTTTTTTTTTTTTTAAAGCTTTACAGGCATAAATTCCATGTATTTGTGAGACCTATTCCGTTGATAAACTATTATATGGCCTAGCTAGTTTAAATCACAAATGTATGTAGCCTATCTCCTCGTTATATATACACGAATATAAATATATACATATCCTCTTTACACACACACACACTTGTAAGATAAAAAATCGTACAAACTACTGTATCACACATTATTTAAATAAAATAAATTAATTAAACACTCTTTTTGTTCTTTTAATACTTTATTTCATAAACACTTTCATGATCTTGCACAGAATTCATTGGGATATTAACATACAATGGTACCCAGTGGCCTGCCACTAATTTAATCAACAATAATAATTATAATAGTACTTGAAATAACAGTAATACCCATTATGTGTACAATAAACCAGGTTTCATGAGGGAAAACAATAGCATGTATACTTGTGCCATATAGTGTCATGGTTTGGCTAATAGGATTGAAAACGTATTAAAAAAGCTTGTAATGCAGCAATTTCTTGGTTTTCTGAGAGAGTGTTTCTGAGCAAAATAAGACGGCGTGAACTGTCCTTGAGAAGATCCACTATAGGGCTATCTGGCAATGTTTTACAAATCCCTCTCTGCCGATTTGTTGCAGACGTACATCACATGAAGAGTCAGCAAAAAAATGACAGAAACGGGTCAGGAGGCGCTCATTCCACTACCTCGGGTTTGGCATGCTGTAATGATGCCAGAGAGCAGAGGAGAAGGAATGGTAGATCATCTCTAGGCAGGTAATCATTAACATCTATGAGCAATACAGCTGTCCATGCCTCAACATTGCTCTCTTTAGCTTCCATATAAAAGAAACCTGCTTTACCAAACGTTGGCTTACAATAAATAGGGTTTAAAAGTTTGGCATGTAACAAAGTAATCGTCGTCATGGCAAAAATGAATTTGGTGCAGTAGAACTAGGTTATAAACATGAACAAGATTAGAACCCTCAAGTCAAAAATCCAGGTGTAGGAACAGATCACATAATCATCGTCATCATCAGACTGTGCTATTCATGGAATCTTTTGGTATGCAGATCTGAGCATATACAATATATACAATGTAACATTTAACTCTCTGTTCTGCACCACAGAGATGTAACAGTTTCTCCCAAACGATTCTTGCCACAGAATAATCCACTGTGTTATTACTCCATATTAAAGACTAGAAACTCTGTTTTTAGAACCTGTTCATTCAGATACACTGAATGTACGTATGCAGGAAAACGGAATTCCTGATCCCATCATATCATATATTTATAAACACAAAGCTGTTCCCTTGATCAAACAATAAAATAGCACCTCTGTTTCTGTATATGACACTTAATGTCAGACTGTTCAGATAGTTTTGCTTAAAAATGCACAATTGTTCTTGCTAAAATGAACTACAGTGTATTTCATCTGTATCTTCTTTGAATAATGTAGGTTTTGTGAGATTTCAGAGAAATATATCCTTTAAAAATAGTTAACAATTAGATTTTGTGGACTAAGGGATGAAGAATAGAAACTCAAATATTAAAAATCAAATTTCATGCATTAACTTCCAATTACTGTTGGACGTGGAGCACACAGAAACAATAACTTATATTCTCCCAAATGTTAACATATAGCGTTTCGCCTTTGTATTTTGGTAGTGTTCATGATTTGGTTCATTGCAGAGTTTACTAACTTCACTACAGTTACCTCAATGAGTAAAAAAGACAATAAATATCGGTATTAAACAAAAAAAAGAAAGGTAAAGAAAACATTTCCATTTCTAATACAAATTTTCTGCAGTATACTTTGGCAAAAAGCAATTGTGAAAAACAATGTGAAGATAAGCACAAGGTTGCAAAATATCAGTAAGGCAGGATATCAAGAACAATAATACTGAGAGAAGCAGGAAGATGAATGCGTGTGTAAGCGTGAGTGACGGGCAGGCTCAACTGAGGATCTGGAAATGACCAGTACAAGTCGTAAACGTATGGAAGTGAACACACACAGCCCTGTCCCAAAGCCATGCGCTGCCATCAACAGTCCAAAAACCTCTGAGGAAGGAAACCGCAGGCAGGCTGGAGGCTGGTGGACTGGGAAAACACACCGACTGGTTCACCTTCACTTACTCGAGTGAAATCTTTGACAACAAAGAGCAAGATTAAAGCAATATCAAACACAAAAAAGGTAAAGCAGTTCTCAATGAGTCATCAGGCGTTCACACTGGCAAATAACTGGATTCAAAAGAGGAAATGAAAATGAAGCTCTTTCTAAAACACCGAATATCTACCTCTGGAAAAAGTGGTGAAACGAGAGAACTTATCCTAAGCTTTTCTTGACCTGGGGTTTACCACAATGCTCAGAAGTCCATTTAAAACTGCACATAACAAAGATCAAACACTCATCGACAATACCTAACCCACAAAACTGGGCTCAGAGGAATAAGTTATATTTACAAATGAATTCGTCCTTTAATCTTTTGCACTTTTCATTCACAAATACAACACGGTTGAAAACGTTTGATATCCTCATCAAAACTTTTACATTTTTTTGTTGATATATATTCTATATTTATCAAAAAACCCTCTAAATAAGGCAGGGATATCATTGAGTTTACAATGATAAAAACTAGCCCGATTCATACACGCCCTCATGACCTAAAATCCTCATATTATCTGCAGCCACAACACCCTTGCATTCATAAAATCACTCATGCACACTCAAAAAAACAGGTTATCTTGCATCTTGCTGTTATCCTGTAGGGAGAGCCCTGTCAATTCCTTTGATTGAAACGTTCCCATTACACACGTTTTCCTCCTCAGAATTGTTTTTCCCTACAGTTGGAGCAAAAGGGACAGTCAAAGGTGTGAATCTCACAAAACATGTCCAGGTCACATTTCTATGGAAGCCTGTTTCAGTGTTTCATCCGCAATTATACGAAGCTACGAGCTGCGTCACGCCGGATCTGTTTCCTACGTTGTTGTGATTTGATCTGAACGAAAACAGCGTATCCATGTGACGCAGCTGACACAGAACAGCAGACGCTGTTTACGTTCAGCTGATAGGGGGTTATTCTGCGATAACAACCGGCTGGATGTACATTATCCCACTTATTACATGGCTACTTGCCACATAAGTAAATAATTAGTCACGAAATATTGATTTGGGTTGAAATATTTGAACGCAATAAAGTTTCCGTGAAAACAGCAGCTGCGAGCAGTGGCAAGTTCAAACTAGACGGACATTTAAGGGATATGGTGCAGTCAAACCACTTATTACACAACATTTCACCACATAAATAATTATGATAAAAGATATTGATTTAAGATTCAAATGTTTTAAAATCTTGAAACACTGATGTCACATGGATTATTTTACAGATCTCCTTGTTATGTTTCTGAACTTGGGAACATTTCAGTTGTGTTGCTGTCTATGCAGGGTCAGACAGCTCTCAGATTCCATCAAAAATATCTTAATTTGTGTTCCGAAGATGAACGAAGGTCTTACGGGTTTGAAACGACATGAGGGTGAGTAATTAATGACAGAATTTTCATTTTTTGGGTGAACTAACCCTTTAAGTTTTTATTTTTTACATCGTGACATATTTTAATTACAATTAAGATGTTTTGTAATTCCTATTATTCTCAGTAGTTCTTATCAGATTCTCATTACCGTAAATCAGCATAAATTAAAGACAGTACTACATATAATACTACACTTTATAAATATTTTACAATTTAAATAATGTATAATTTATTTCACCTTACAGTAATGAGATTTGTACTAATAAACCATGTCACAGAGCAACAAAAATGGTCATTAAAACAAGCTTCATTTACTTTACTTGCAATGCAAAATAAAGTTTCTTAATTGGTATTAAATTTGGGTTGACATGTTCTTGACAGGTTCCCTGACATTCACTCCTCAAATGTGTGCGAGCTACGATGAGCGTCCACTAGGTGGCAGACTAAATTTGTTGGTGTTTTCTGAGCTGAAGTCAACAGGAAGCACATATTTCTGTTGGTTGTGAGTGGTTAAAACCCCCTTAATAAATATTCCTGTTATGTTCCAGCAGTTCCTGATTACCACACATGTACACTATGTTTCTGAGATAAACACAGGCTTGCATAGCTGAACCACAGTTCATGTGGCCAATCCTGTCACAATCCACTACTAAATGCAATAGCCGATGTTTTACATGTAATCGAAATGTGAAATCCAGAATTTGATCCTCTTACCAAGCGGATTATTGCCATTAATATTGGCAGGATTCATAGTCCACTGACTTTTACTGATTTAAAACAAACAAAATCAGTCATTCCCTCCAGCTTCTGGTTATGTAAACTAGGGTATTTCACTGTAGACTCTCTAGGTCACCTAAACTTTTCATGAAACCAGGACAAACATTCACACACAGCCACCAAAAGGTAGAACCGTCTCACTTCGCAAAACCATAGCCTCAGTCGAGTAACCACTTCACAACACTTCGAGATTTGGCAGAAACAGTCGATTTAACATAGAAACTTCTAGCGGCCGAAAGAGTTGATGCACGTAATCAAGTCGTCTTTAAAGGGGTCATATAATGCTACATGCACTTTTACAAGTTGTTTGAACTGAAATGTGTGTTGGCAGTGTGTGTACACAACCACCCTATAATGATAAAAATCCACCCAGTGTTTTTTTGTTAATCTACTAAAATCTTTCCCCCTTTCTCAAATCGAGCCGATCTCAGATGCCTGTCTGTGTGACATCACACAGACAGGCCCCTCCCACGATAGTTTGATTGACAGTAGCGTTTCAGCACAGACTGAAAGTAAACGGTCAAATGACTCTGGCTCATTTTGAAGGCGTTGCGGCGTTCTAGACGGTCACTTGATTCGGGTAAGGACACCTCGAAGCCGATGAGGGGAATACTGCGCTGGGCTTTGACATCCTGTGCGTATGGAGAGAGAAAGAGAGAAGAAAAGATCAATACTTCACTGGTCAACCATTAACTGACCACTCTGAACCGCATTAGTCATGGAATGAATACGAAGGCCTTGTTTACATCTGGTGTTAACATCTGTTTGATCACATGACTCCTGGTAGTAACATGCATGTCAAATGCATCTGCTGTAGCCATGTGTGACTGAATTTCATGTTTGATGTCAACAAGCATATGCACTACCGTTCAGAGGTTTGGGGTTGTAAGATTTTCATTGTTTTTGAAAGAAGTCTCTTCTGCTCACCAAGGCTGCATTTATTTGAGTAAAAATGATAATATTGTGAAATATTATTACAGTTTAAAATAGCTGTTTTCTATATGAATATATTTCAAAGGGGTCATATGATGCGATTTCAAGTTTTCCTTTCTCTTTGGAGTGTTACAAGCTGTTCGTGAATAGATAAGATCCCTAAAGTTGCAAAGATTAAAGTCTCAAACCAAACATTTCTTATTATTATCAATGCTGAAAACAGTTAATATTTTTGTGGAAAGTCTAATGGAAAGTTTATTTTCGGATTCTTTGATGAATAGAAAGTTCAAAAGAACAGCATTTATTTAAAATAGAAATCTTTTATAACG